TACATGATCAATTATTAATTAATACTAGCTGTACCAGGCCACACGTTGCTGTGGCTCAAAATGTATCTATCAATATTATAAATGTATAACACTCCCTGCAGGAGGGAATTTCGAAAAAGCCCTTCTTAGTGTACATTCTCATGACATACCCTATTAAAACGCAATCAAAAATGCAAAAAACCGCATCTAAAATAGTATAATAGAAGCCAAGGTCTTCACAGTAAGCCTTAATTTTTTCCCTCCCCCTGTGGGGGGATTTCGACATGTATATAATATAAAAACACACGCATATCCAAATGCAATGTTGTGTCAAAATTTCAAAGCAATTAAGAACTTTCGGAGATTTAAGATTTTGAACAAACAAACATTTACATTTTTATTTATATAGATAAAACTATTCATATTTACCTTAACAGGTGCTTTGTTTCCTAATTTTTCAATTGTCTGCAAGCATTCATCAAATGACACACAGGGATACATACGATAAGCCCAATGTTCTAATGTTGACATTAATTTATTTAGATCTTCTTTCTGTAAAAAAAAAAAATTAGCAATTTTCAAAAATCATAACTTCAACATATAAATACAAGGGCACAATGCTATGAAATTTGCATGATGATCACTACAGCTTTTCATTTATTAAAAACTATAGCAGAAATCTTCATACCACAAATTGAAATTAGTACAAATCTAATAAATATATGAATTTCTGAAAAGAAATGACAGAGATTTGTAATCATAATTTTTAGCTATTAAATGAACAGATTAGTAACTATACAAAATTTTTTGAATTTTATTCAAATACAGAAAATCCTCATTGGTTTTCTAGGGACAAAATAATTGCAACTTTCAATTATCAAGTTTTGAATTATCTGAGATTTACATATTTCTGTACAATATGCAAAATGCCATGTAACTGATTTAATTTATTTAAATCAAACAGAATATGGCTAAATATATAAAACACTACTTTCATTAATTAACAATTATTATTATTATTATTATTATTATTATAAATAAACTGCAGGTAAACAATACGTGTCCAGTGAGACCTATTACGTTACCAGATAAGTTTTATAAAAAGTAAAGCAAAATTCTCGAAATGTAGCCAAAAAGTAGTAAGTCACTCAAATCTAGTAGTCTAGAGCTTACAAATAACCTCAATCTGGTACTTGTAGCCCAATCTTGTAACACTGAAACCCAGCTGTATTTTATGCAATAAGAGAAAAAGGATAATTAATGAGTAAGGTGACACCTGAATATGTGTTACTGTTACAGCAAAGCTATGTTGACAGATTAGAGTTGTTCATGGTCTATCATTCTCTTATACAAGTATCCTTTGCTTAGCATGGGATTTAATTAATGTGCAACATTAATTGTGAAAATCCCTTTATATATGCAGCATAAGTTTTAATTAATGTAACTTTAGCGGCTGTCTTAACATACATATATTTTTCTCAGCAAATAAAGTGTTGGTGAATTTACTATTTTCATTCTGAGGATGACTTCCCTCAGCATGAAATAGCATATATTCATGCTGTAATATATATGCTGCAGTCAGTAATATAAACATGTAGTTTAATTATGATAGTTTTGAAATTTAACACATTACTGCTAATGTGATATTGTATTCTTCATTTAAAAGTTTATTTTAAAATTTTAATTCACATTTTGTTTGAGTAAAATCAAATCAAAATGTCTGCATATAAAATGTATATCACACATATTATGCATGATTTTTAAATTTCATAAAGGATATAATATTATCCAAACAATAAAAAAACTCGTAGTATGGGCAAGATGCTCCTAAACAACAAGCATGTCAAATATGGTTTTGAAAGTTTCATTTGGGAAATTTTGAAGTAAAGGATACAAAATATACAGGATGTCCAAAAGCTGACGACAAAGAAAAATTTCAGGAAAAAATTCTTAAAAATTGATGAATACAACTCATGAACGTGCAACAAATCTTGAAGTGTCACAGATATGATGATTGTGTTCTGCATGCATTAAGTGAAACAAAAAAAATTGGATCAAGTATAATTTTGTCTAATTACAGTAGAGCGTCGATTTTCCGAAAGTCAATCATCCGAAAGAATTCCAGTCGGCAAATTTAAATTTTCGCCAGTGCTGTGGCGCTTCAATCTTTGGCTATGTCTTGGGCTACTCAAATATTTTACGTTTTTGATACTAAATTAACATCTGAAGTATAATTTTTAATTATTTTTATATTTTTCAATATATTTATTTTGTTTGTACAAAATAAAAAAATAATTTTTAACGATACAATAGTCTTTGTTAGGCTTAACATCCATGAAAATTCAACGCGAAGCGACACGCAACGGAGAAAAATTTCAACATCAGATACGTTAAACTATTTTTTCGTACGTAAATCAGTTATCCGGACAACCCCAGTCCCCAATTGATTCAGAAAATCAATGCTCTACTGTATAAGTATAATTTTGTCTGACAAAGATAGGCAACTCTAAGATTTCATTTTATTTTTAAATTACAGTAGTTACTCCCTTTTATCACAAAAAGCTATTTTTACAGATGACAAAGTTAAAATAAAATATTTGTTATTAATCAAAAATTTCATCTAGCAGATCATGATTGTTTGATCAAATACCAACATGCCACTGTATTTGATTAATTAATGTGACTTAGATATATGCAGTAACATAAAGAGATTAATTAATCACATTAATCAAGGGATACCTGTAGTATGGAGGCATGTAAATTTCAATCTAAACATATGAGTTAATATATACATATCACAGTTTGGACAGAATTTTTACTTCAAATTTCAAAGTAGCCACATTTAAAACTAACCAAATTCCTTAACTTATAAACCTCTATGTCCTTGACTGGGACAAATAATAGTTATGAACAGATGTAATTTTGAACTATATGAGAGTGAATTAACAGGAATTTCCTGTATATGAAAGAGTGTTATAAAAATCCAGCAGCAAAACCACTTGTGGTTTGCTGCTGAAATTTTTGGTGTTAGTCTGTTTATTTGCTTTCATTTAATTAATAGTCTGAAAGAGATGCATAGAATAAAACAAAATATTTAAAACACAAGCAAATTCAAGTTTTGAAAAGCAAAGAAACAGTTTTAAGAATGTTTTTTAAATATTTTCAACCAGCAATTACTTAAATCCATGGTTGTATGTGAAACCCATGGATACAGTGGATCAACTACAGTAAAGCGTCGTTTATCCGAAAGCTGGTTATCCGAAACGTCCGTTATCCGAAAGCATTCCAGTTGGCAAATTTAAATTTTCACTAGTGCTGTGGCGCTGCAATCTTCGGCTATTTCTTGGGCTACTCAAATATTTTACGTTTTTGATACTAAATTAACTTCTGAAGTATAATTTTTTATTGTTTTTATATTTTTCAATAAATTTATTTTGTTTGTACAAAATAAAAAAATAATTTTTAACGATACAATAGTCTTCGTTAGGCTTAACATCGAAGAAAATTCAACGCAAAGCGACACGAAACGGAGAGAAATTTCAACATGGGATAAATTAATATATTTTTTCGTACATGATTCGTTATCCGAAAAATAAGTTATCCGAACCACCCCAGTCCCCAATTGATTCGGAAAATCGACGCTCTACTGTATATTTATAATGAAAATTAACTAAAATTAGTTACTTTACCCCAATAGACACAGTTAGTATTATTTACATTTGGGATCATTTAAATATTTGTTTTTTTATGTGTTATTAAAATTTCTTTTAATTTTTTAACCGAGTGAAAAGAAAACTTACACAATTTTAAATCAATATTTAAATATGATCAGTATTATTATAACTAATCAAAACACTTTTCATCAGTAATATGGTTACTGATCGAGTAATTCTCAGGAATAATTTGAGGGACATATAAAATCAAATTTCCAAATCTGAACTAGAAACATTTCAAATTTATAATATTTTATTTCAGTAAAATGAGTATTATATCATATCATTCTAATACATGATTTTTGTTTTTAATTTAAATTTAACAACTTTAATCCAAATAACTATTTTTTCTAAACTATGACTGTTGAACATCTAATACTATATTACTGTACCCAGTGAGTACAATAATAAATATGCACAATTGTGTAACAAATAAGTGGCAAAATATTTCTTATACCTCTAATATATTCTGGATATGCACCTAGCATCACAGATGATGACTGAAATGTTATTACAAAGTAATGAAAGTATTCAATGACTGCAATAAATATAATATTATTTGTTATTTTATATACTGATTTGTGTTTGTTTTAAATTTAATGTATTATTATATGATTGATACAATCCTAAACTAAACCTACAACAAAACAGCTACAGAAAATAAATTTATTATACTTGTTATCTTCTCTGAATCAGTAATTCATATAATTAATTATCCTTCTTATCAATTAATTCATTAGCCAAACAAACATTTTGCTTACATTCAATATATGTTAATTTTCATATATTTTTTTGTAAAAGTTTAAGCATAAAGTGTTAATGCTTAAAACTTTTACTTTGTCTGCATTAATTCAAAATAAAATTTGCTGTAAAGAAACTTTTTATTTTAACTAAAAATCTGTATTTAATTTGCTTTACAAACATTAAAATAGCAATAAAATGTATTACAATATAATTAAAAACATTTATATGTGTATGAGTACAATTTTTTAAAGTCCCAGAAATTCATTAAACTTGCAAAATAATATCTAAGAGTCCTGGGAATAAAAATAATTGAAATTCAGAAATCCTAATCAATATTAAAACCAGCACTATTATTTTTTGTTTTAAAACTGAAATCAAACATTTTATTTTAGTATTTAAATTTATAATAATATAATAATCTGTAATTCTTACCTCATAGCCTTTACCTTTAAATCTCACATCTTCAAAAATCTTTGGTAATATAGCAATTCCTCTTTCTCCACATAATCTGTAACAAATAAGTAAAATGTATTTAATTTCATTACTTTTAATAACTCACTAAACAATTAATATATTCATTATTTTACAAAAAGTTCATATTGAAATAAGGCAGCTTTTTTAGGCATTTAACAAATCAAATTTAATTAATAAAATATGAGGATTCTTAATGAAATAGTTTATCAATAAAACAGTTTAGCAACAGATAACTAACTCACTTAATTTTTTAAAAGTTAAAAGATTCAAAGAAATCTATAAAATATCCCTTACACAATTAGTAACAGGACATATTTATTACATTTTTTTTTCTAGCAACATATATTTTAAATTAATCTAGAAATACTTTGTAAATTTATAAAACTAAATAAAACAAATAATTTGTTTCCAGTGCAGCACATTTAATATTGCACTGGAAACAAATGACAAAGCATGAGGATATCTAAATATTTTTAGTGCTGTCATCTAAACTAACATCTAAATATTTAATTAATTACTATCAGTACAGCATTTATTTGTTTATTTATTTATATCTGCAAAATATATAGCATGTGATGACTACACCCAATAAAACTAGTAGTTCACTCCATAAAAACAATAGTAACAAAATACACCAAAACAATAAAATGCATACACATAATTGTTTTTTCAATTTAAATATTTTGAATAGAATAATTTTTAAACAACAGAAATTAAGAATTTCAATGTTGTCAGGAATACAATCATTTTAAAAAAATAAACTTCCTATATTATAATTCATAAAATTAAACAAGAATGAAATACAAAAAAATGAAATTAATTTTCATTTTCATATATAATCTTACTAATCTTGCTAGTTTATATTACAATAAATTATCAGTATATCAGACTACATTTCTGAATTTCATTTAGTTATCTTGAAAGAAAATATAACTGCGAAAAACATTAAATTTTGTAAATTATTTTTCCAGAAAACAGAAGAATCAAGATTGGATAAAACTAGTTCTTAAACATATATATATATTATGATTGATAAATTCAAAAATGAATAACTCAATGAGTAAGAATAGTTCAGAAACAGAGTTACATTAACCCATGGACATAATTAGCCCCACTTTCTTAGGAAACTTCACCTCACTCTTCACTGCTGTTATTTTTATTCTCTAATTGTATCTGTATAACACATCAAAAGTGCTTAAATGTCACTGATCAGAAATATTATGTAGAGATTCACAAGTCAATGTATGTACTGATGAACTACAGGAAAGAAAAACTGAAATGCACACTTCAAACTTTTTTGAGATTTTACAAAAAATTTTAGCTTTCAAAGATAAAAAATGCAGTAAACTGTATCAATTATTATGAAATGATAAAATGCTGTAACAAGAATACATATAGGCTAATTTTAGTAACAAATATTCAGCATATAAACATGTAAAACATTCAACTTATAGGTGGTAAAAGTACACAATTCCCACATTACACATTTTTTTCTTAATTTTGCTTCCTTTGGAGACCTCACTAGTAGATGTGTCCTAAACCTATAGGGTTAAAGTGTACCTAGGTAACCCCAATAGTGGTGCTTGTTAGGTTAGGTTACATTAACTATATTTTTAGTAAACATTTCATTTTTTTTATTTTGTTCAAGAACTACTGCGAATCAATAACTAGTGGCGTTAAACACTCGGCGGCCTAACAGCGGCTCCCCTCCCGGAGGAGTCTGTCGGGAGCACGAACAGTCGGAAGCGCTGCCATTGGGGTTACTTAGGTACACTTTAACCATATATAGAAATGTTTGGGAGCAACACATATAAAAAAGAGCTTTTACCTTACAGGTTTAATCCAATTTTATAGTCAAGTTTGCAGAATTGATCAGTAATGCACAATTTAATTAAACATATTAAACTTCAAAATTTCAAATAATTAGATTATAAAATTATTATAATTATTATTATAAGGTAATTAATTCACTAAAACATTTGCTTTAATTTTTTTTTTAAAACTTATAAACATTATGTAATAAAATAAAAAAAATGAAACCTTGAAGCATCCAATTTAACTCTAGGATTTCTAACAACTCTCTTCTTAATATCTTTTTTAATATTTTGAGTATCTTCGATTTCATTGTCCTTATTTTCGCCACGTTCGTCGTCATTTCCATCTTGTTTCTCAACACTTTCATCTTCATTCTCTTCGATCATATGCTCTATATCATCTTCCTCAAATAAGTCTGTATCGTCAATTTCATCCATCTTCTTAATATCTCGTTTAGCGCTTTAAGAATGCTTAATGAAGATTCCTCTTGAAAGAAGTTAATCGACTGATAACGTAAATAGGAAAAGTAAATATTAGTACCACAGTTTGTATTACTTGCATAAGAAAACAAAATGGACTGAATTTCTCTTTCAACGCATACAAACTCGGATTACGCGCCATATCCCTCGAGCAAAAAACACGCCGTTGTTCTGTGTTAAGCTCCACCTAACGTCGGATGTTAAACTAAAAATATTACATCATTAAAAATATATATTTAATATTAATAAAATATAAAATAATATTTATATATATAAATGCATAAAAATAAATACTATAAAATGTCCGTTATTGTCTTTTTACTTTCCCGGCTGTTATGTATAAACTGTATTTATAAACGGCCGGATGACTGAGCGGTCAAGGTAGCAGCTTACCGCTCTGGGGGACCCGGGATCGAATCCAGACGGGTCAAGGAATCCCCAGGAATTTTTTGGGGGTGGTCCGTTCGGATATGTCGGGCCCCATCCCTCACCACCCGGTCGCCTCATTGTGGGCCTGGCCGAACCCATAATGGGCCTACTATAATGTAAGTTTTCCGTCGTTAAGGGGGTACAGTTTATCTCGCGTCAGAATGAGCATAAGGGAAACCGCGTATGTGGGCGGTGGCGAAGGAGGCAAATGAAGAACAAGTGTTTTACAAGAGAAAACCCGTTTATTTGTTCGAATTCATGCTTACATCGATATTGGGCAATTCCAAAATCTCGGTGTTCCTATGGAACAGTGAGAGTTTGGGTGATTGGTCGAAGTCCGGGCGGACGAGAAGGATCGCTGGACGATGCAGATGATCGGTGTTAAGCTGCGGCGTCCTAGGTGTTCGGCGGTAGCACAACACAATAGATAAAGCACAACTGTAGGCTTAATCCAGAGGAGACTCTCCTTCGACCTTGAAGTTCCGATTTTTATAGTTTTTTTCCCCACTATTCGCATTTCGGATTGGTCCTTCGTCCCATTCCTTGCTTCCCGATTGGTCTTTCCTTTGTCTCCAGGTGCAAGACACGCTACAGTTTTTAATTTTTGTATGAAACTATCGGTACTTTTATACTGTGATGAGATTTTTCTAAAGCGTTTAATTTCCCCTTTAAAATTAATTCAAGATTATAAAATATATAGCCTTTTATGTCTACTGAAGGTCTGTACAAAACGGGTTCTTTATGAGTTTTGACTCTATAGGAAAACTTCGATATTCTGTTTTCTCCTCTTAAGATAAATTGTTTTTCAGTCCTATTAATACGGTTTTGCTTTTTAAGTTTATTAAGGGTTGCTTTTAACTTTTTGTTAAGTGAGTCAGTAGGGTTAATATTAAGTTATTACAGTACAAAAATTGTATGTTAACTTGTATGCATTATTTCCTAAACAGTTACATCACAAAGAGTTGAAAGGTAACTCGAAGTCCGTGTGAGGACCCGAACAGGAGTCGACTGAGAGGTCCGAATGAAGGGTATCAATCGGAAATTTAAGGTGCTCCTTTTCAGAAGCGACTGGAAAGGATTAGGTGTCTCGATTGAACAATGTAATTGTTTTTTTTTTTTTTTGGTAAATTAGTTAAACAATGGAAAGGAATAAATTCGAGGTAAACGCGACTAGAGAGAGGAATCATATTCAGTCGCAACGTTGACCTCTCCCGCGCCCTCCATTAGGTTTCGAATTGTCACCAGGTGATAATGAGAGACCAATAGAGAGGCGACTGCGGTTAAGAAATCTATAAAACCGTGCGATTCGAGTTACAAAGGTTCTTGGTTAATAGTCTTATCCTCCTGGACGTGTGCGTCCCCGTCGAATCTTGGGAAATAACGTTTCGGATCTAGTGGAAGCAACCTCATCTGTAGTGTCACCGGACGACCTCCAAACTCGTCGGTTCGTCCGAGAAAAACCACCTGAAGTAGTGCCATTCGCCCCGGGGCCGGCGATTATTTCGCCGTCTTTGCCGAACTGTAGGAAATGGAAACGAACTTTTCGAACTCTATTTGAACTTTATCCTCGTGCTTCGTGGTGTGATAATTCGTCAATCAAGAAAATATTGTAAGAAATTATAATTTTATTAAACGATATTATATGGTAAACCTGTCTCGGTGAGTCATTCTGCGCCCACACGACAGAATTGACCGCTCGGCTGTCGAAAACACCTCACCCCAATCGGCTGACCTCACATCCGAAATGCATACTCTAGGAAATAAAAATGTGATTTTCTAAGATTGTCCCGTTTCTAATTGGTGGTGTAATAAGTCTAGCGGAAAAGAAAAGCCGTCATAGTAAAATTGAATATAAGACAAGAAGCGTATTACAGAACTCATTGAATGTTTACATTGTTTGCGGTGTATTGTTGGAGGAAGTAACATTTGCTATCTTCTGTTTCTTTAATTTTGTAAGAACAATTTTGATAGCAAGTAAGTAAATTATGAATTTTAATTTCTAAAAAACCAAAATGAAACCACAAGCGACAGGATGTTACATTCAAAGGTATTTAAAGAATAATATTTCAAATTTCATTTGACAGGTGAGATTTTTTTTAATTTTTTAAAATTAACGTTAAAATTCACTTAATTTAATAAATTATACATAAAATTTAGACAGAAAAGTCATATTTCAGTTAGTGCCATATAAATTCAACAGATTCTCCCTAAGCTTTACATTCTGCAAAAGTCGAATAGTAAACTTCCAAACGGGTTGGAAGGCTTTTGTCTCCCCCTTTCTTCTCTCTTTGCGTAGGTTTAACACAGAACACACGAAAAAAAAGTTGAAGGCTTTTGTGTTCCCCTTTCTTTAAATTTCGCGTAGGTCCAAAACTGAAGACACCGAGAGCAGTCAGAGACTGTTATGACTTTTTCGGATTTTCGTTCAATTTACTTTCATTTTTAGTAGTTAGAATATTGCATGCATTTACTTTAAAAAGTAAAGAATATTTTATGTTATTTTTATGTATGTTTCTTTACAAAACTATATTTAATTATAATTTTTTTTTAAAACTACATTCATACAATTGAAGAATATTTAAAGTAGGGTCTTCGAGATAAATCACCATGGGCCTACTCTGGCAGCTGTCGTGGTCTTCAACTCTAACTTACAGGTCCAATTCCATCCTCACTTAAGCAGCAAATATCATGCAACGGTAAACATCCAGCATGGATACCTTAATTATTACATCATTTCGGCTTACTTTCCACCCTCGGTCCCCATCTTCGAACCTCTACAAGAGGTTAGGGACACCATTCAGGCATTGGCTAACGACCCTGTCCTTCTGGCGGGAGACTTTAACTCAAAATCTCCTTTATGGTTTGCGAAAAAAGAAGACCCACGGGGAACCACTTTCAGGGAGTTCTTAGAGGAAAATCAGCTCCACTCATTAAACACCTCTCCTCTTCCAACGTTTTCTTCGGCACAAGGAGAGAGCTAGATAGATATATGCACAAGCAATGGCAACATGTACAAATTCATTCACTCTTGCAGGACTGTGGATTATATAGTACCAAGCGATCATAACTATATATTAACCACTCTTGACTGCACTACTCCTACAGCCATCTTTACCAAGACCAAGCATACCAATTGGGATGTCTTTGAGGACCTGGTGGCAACCCTTTGGAATCTGGATCCCCTCATTTACATTAAGACACCTGAAGAATTGGACAACACTATTGCAAAACTCACCCAAACCCTGCACACTGCTTACCANGATAGAACAATACGTCGCATGATCGAGTGTGCAAAGTTACATATCTCAATCACCTTTACAATTATAATTTGCGGAAACTATGATTCGATCCCAGGGAACAGTAAGTGCTCTGTTTGCCTCCGTGGTTTCGTCTCTGTTTCCCGACAGATATAATAATCGCAAAAATGCTCCAACGTACACTGTAAGCAAGGTAAAACAATTTTTCTTATTGATACTGTGCCTCTTCGAGTATTGTTGACACGCACTGTACTTTGAAACTTATGCACGTATTGATCTGTATACTGTATATGTTTATTTATGTCTGTAGGTGTAAACATGAGTCATTGAAAAACTTACTTATTTTCAGTTATTCTGGTCATTGTATAATATATATATATAGCCTATATATAGCATTTTTTAAAACATATCGAGAAAACTTTTTTAATATGCATAAATAATATGAATTATTTTTTACAGGAATTTTTTTACGGGTTACTTTTCGAATCTATGTAAGTATGAAAAACAGATTAATTAATTACAATATAGATTTTTCATTACAATAAGATGTTCGTATACAATTAATAAGATAGATGTTCGTATAGAATAAGATGTTCGTATTGTATATCCCAAACTATTGTTAATATTAGCAGGGGCGTGACGTGACATTTGATGATAGGGAAGCTGTGTTTTTGTAACAAGCCGACTTCCAGGGGCAATCAGTCAGTGATTCGTTTGTTCGATAAGCCAATAAAAACCGTAGACTTTTCTAAATGTATTTTTAATTAATAGATTGTCTAACGCACTTAATAAATAAGCGAGTTTAATATAATTAACTCTGTTATATTAGATTTAATAGATTCTATACGCCCTCCAAATGCCAATTCTCGCTTCGATAACATCTACTAATTAAAATATATCTATTAGCCGTAACTATCTTGTTATAATTTTCAATATATATTTTATATTGTGTACTAATGTTAAATTCTATTCTATTTTGATTTCTAAATTGCTTCAATTTTACGAAAGAATCGATACAGATTTAGGATTTTCGTGTCTTTTGCCAGCTTTACTCAAATTATTTAAATCGTCAAAGCCACACACTAATTTTATCTGAAAATAGTAGGCAAGGCCGACAAAACAATTTTTGCATTTTTATGCATCCACAGAGCCATTTTATATCTTCATAAATTTTATCGTGAAAATGTCGAACAAATTTTTNTAGGCAAGGCCAACAAAACAATTTTTGCATTTTTATGCATCCACAGAGCCATTTTATATCTTCATAAATTTTATCGTGAAAATGTCGAACAAATTTTTTGTTGATGTATTTATATTTAATTTAGGCATTGGTCTTTCTCTTTTCATAATGTTTTCTTTTTCATTATAAGGTCTCGAGCCAAAACTTTTTGAAATAAATTTTCAATATCACAATTACATTCTAAATTGCTATAATTGCTATAATATAAGAGCTAAAATTAAAAATAAAATTATAAAACTTACTTGTTAAAA